GTGGAACAGCTTGCTCAGATTGGCATTCTGATTGCTGTCCATGATGTCGACGCTGGTTGTGTTGATTTGCTTTTGATTTGACTGCATCGGTGGCAAGTTGGCGATTTGCACCTCGTGCCGGAACAATTGATTGACGCTGCGGCCCACTAACTGGGCCGTCAGCTTCTTGAATATGTCCTTTTTGGCGCGATCCACCTTGTTGCCCTTGACGGGAGCCACCGCGACCTTCTCATCGAACTTTTGCACATCCGCCGCATTGACGCTTGGAATGTGCTGCAAAACTTCGCTGAGCACTGGGAATTTTGGACGCAGCAGCTCATAGAACTGAACGCCGAGTGTGATCAAGCCGGATTGATTAGCTTCATGCTGACCATGCACCTGCATGCCCTGCAGCACCGCTGTAAAGGCACTCACGGCCTTGTTCTCATCCATCAGCTGCTCGGCGGCCAGGAAGCGCATGACGGGCGCCGCTATATTCACAGCCTTCATGCTGCACATGCCATCGTTCCAGGCGATCGCCTTCAGCAGTGTCATCAGGATGTAGTTGCCGATCATGCCATTGCGCAGCAGCTGGCCACCCAGATCGCTGATGGTGTCCGAGAGCAGGGCCGATTGCGAGGCACGCGACTGTGGTGCACTGTCCATGGAGTGCTCCTCGTTCTCCATTGCCACCACATTGGCACCCCCAGCAGCATTCACATGATCCGCACCGATTTGTCCGCCCACCAAGGCGATCTTTAGCACATCGAGATACTCGCGTGTGAGTGTCCGATTCAGCTGATCCTCGAGCACTTCCTGTGTGTCGTTCACCTCGCCATTCAGCTGCCCCGACTCGTACAGCGACGAGATGTAGATCCAGCGACGTGTCAGCCGCTCGCACATGAGCGGAGTCAGATGAGCGAAGAGCGGCACCAGCACCGACTCATAGAAGCTGGGCGGGCACGAGTAGACGAATGGCTTAAAGAATACTCGGATTATGGGCCGCATACGATAATCGGGTATGATGTCCAAGCAGCTGAACACATTGCTGATTATGGCATCGGACAGACCCACCAGCTGGTAGAGATCACGGCCGAGCGATGGACCCGCCGAGCCCATCAAATGATAGCAGCCCTCGCTGACCAGAGTCATGAAGGTTTGCATCTTCTCGAAGGCGGTTGGTTCCGATTTGATGGTGGGGTCCAGAGGATCAGCGGGTATGGCGCATATGCCCATCAGTAGCTTCTTCTCATGCTCCAGCATGCCGTGTATATTGCGATAGCCCTCGGAGAGAGCAGCCAATGCCTCCGGCCGGAAGAGCTCATTCAGAACACGCATCAGGCTAAGCACGTGCGAGAGCAGCGGCACCACATGTTTCGTTGCCGGATTCCTGCAGATGGGATTGCCCAGATCTGTGCAGCCAATGACAAAGCCTCCGCGCTGGGCACGGTCCGGATCATCGGGCCAGGTGCACCGTTTAACGACACCCAGGACCACATGCAGAGCATCCAGAATCCGCGAACGTTGCACAACGGATGCATCCCGGTCAATATCGTAGACGGGCGGCTTATCCAATCCAACGAAACGCATGAACTCCAGCGGTGATTTGAATGCATCGCCAAAGCTGAGCCATTCCGAGCGCTTCTGCTGGATAATGTGCTCGATGAAGAGCGTCTGACGCTCAAAGTCACAGAAATGATTCGAGATTAAGATGAGCGCCTCCTGCAGCGTGGTGCGCATCATTCGGCACAGATGAGGCGACGACGGCTCCTTAAGCAGGCACTCCACGTGATTGTTGATCTGCTCGAAGACGGGCAGCAAGAGCAGTGGATATTTGTGTGCCAGTTTGACCAGCAACGAGGCAGCATGACGACGCAAATTCTTTGCGGACTTCTGTTGCACCTTCTCCAGCTCATTGGGTGGCTTCAGCACCAATGCACGGAAGATCTTGTCCAGGACACGAGGCAGGAGCGCCACCCCACTCATGGCCACACAATTGTTGGGCGTCAGTTGGCACGAGGACATGCTAAGGAACACAAACAGCGCTGATATGCAAGACAATAAAATGGAATAGATTAATGGATTTGATGTTTCCAGCTTGAGGCACTCCTCCAGCAAACGAAGGCCGCCGGCGACAGCTGGCCGCTCGGACACCATCAAAATGCGACTAAGTACACCATCCAGGACACAGACCAACGCATCCCACTCCAAGTAAATGGGATCGAGTACACTGCAACTGATGTTGGACATTTCCTGCTCCGAGTGAGCGTTGCGCAGTCGCAGCTGCAGCCACTGCTCGCAATAGCCGTACGTTATCAATGGCTGCACCAGCGTTGCCTGCCGAAAGATCTCGAGGAAGTCGGTGCGACAGCGAAAGAAGTATATGGCAAAATCCTCCTCGCTGTCGTACTCCATGCGTATGTAGGCTTCAGTGCTGTTGGGCGACAGGGCTTGGGTGACTCCATCCGGGAGTTGGCTCGGGTAGGATATCTTGACAATGCGCGGCGCGATGGTGTGTATTAGCTTGGGAATGTAGTTGACCATCAGGTAGTCCTTGGAACAGCCGTCATGCTTCAGCAGCAGCTGCCAAATCAGGGTGGCTCCGTGTGCCACAGTCAGCGATGGATGCTGGACGAGCAGCAGCAGGCATTCAAACATTACATTCAATTGTGCCGGTCGCTGTGTGCCCTCGTCCTTGCCCCACAGCGCAACCAATTGTTGCACCATGCCGTTCAGCACTTGAATGAGTTTCTTGAGAAAATTATGGTGCTGTTCGATGGCCTGCGCACTGCTGGTGTCCACCTGCATTTGGGTGGCCGTATAGATGTAGCGTAAGGGCTCCTCGCCATACAGCTGGAGCAGGGGTTTGCGCTCCTTTGTCTGGCCCTTACGATTTGTGATTTGTGCGAGGCATTCGGCGGCATTGCATTGGAATGCTTTATCATTCAGGAGTATGCAAAGAAAATGCATCAGTTTTCCATTGCTCGACATGATGTGATTGATGCTGACCCACTCCACAAAGCCGCTCAGCGTCAGCAGCACCGTCTCAACGACCCGGCTGTGGGCATTCGCCTTGTGATAGTTGCCCAAACGAGTTGTTTCCCGGAATGCGGTCACATGCTGTTCGATCAGACGCAGAAAGAACTCAAATATATCATTCATGTTGTTATTGAGTGCCTGATACATGTCCTTGCGTCGCTGATTCGATTCGATTGTCTGCAGCAGGGCCACGTCCTCCACCAAGCGCAAGAAGACCAACAAAACTAGCTCCGTTTGAGCCTCACCTTTGGTGCAAGCCTGCGACAGTTCGGGCAACAGATCTGACCACTGTTGGGGCCATTCACGCTTGATCATCTCGACAATGATGCGCGAGAGAGCGTCCTTTAAATGCAACAGCGTACGATCCTCGGCTGGGCCAACGCCCAAATTTAGCATCTTGATGGCATTATCCTTAATGTACACTTTCTCCTCGTGTGTTATGCAATTCCATTTGAATTTGATTGTGTACTCGATTAGCTGCAGGCCGAAGTGCCGCACCTCCTGATTGAACTGAGCCGAGCTGGCCAAATAGAGTCCCACCTGGGCGCACAGCGGTGACTCCTCCTTGAAACGCTCGCAGGCCATATAAGCTTCGAGCCGTGCCTGCTGCACAGTCATTGGGTGCATTATCAGGTCCACGGCTTTCGCCAGCTCAGCGGCTAGAGCCTCCGTAACCCCATGCTGGGCCATCCTCCACGAGTATGCTTCTCAATTCGCTCGATCTTCACCTAAAATAATATTTACACACAGACACACACACACAAATATAAATATATTAAAAACGTCATATAAATGCTGCAATCTAGTTAATTAATGTGCAATTCTTTAGCTAGCTACCCTACACCATAAATCATTTTTGTTTATTTACATTGAATGTAATAGCATATGGCATATGTTTATTCCGTCAAACGTTCGGCTTTAAAACTCAACCTACATCAATTTAGCATGACGACAACACATCCAGTTAATACTTCATTTACTGTATTCGACATTTTAATGTTTATCTAATTTAAATTCACTTCATCTGCTGTGAGCATCTACATATATGTTTTAAAGAGCACAATTGAAGTTCTGAGTTGTATATGAAATATACTGTAGAGTTTTTAATGTTCGCCACTCGCCTGTTAACTTCCACCTTTTGTCTTTTTGTTTTTATTGTTTTTGTTTTTTTTATAATTTTTTTGTATAATTATCTTTGAGTTCTTTTTACGAGTGTTGGTAAATTGTTGCACTTGTATTGGCGCACGTTTAGCTGCAAAGCTGTTTTTCCTTCACGCTGAGCTTTAAACACTGCTTCGTTGGTATGCGTGCGTATGTGCGTGTGTGTATGTGCGTGCGTATTTTCGTCTGTAAGTAACGGAAATGCTGCCATCCTCTGCATTTGCAATTTGCTGGAATGTTTACACTGTTAATGCACACTGTTTATCGTCTTACCCGGTTTGCCGGTATTCAAAGCAAAAATAAATAAATTAATGCTGAATCGTTTTATGCTGGCTGCTGCTGCTCCTCCTTGGCCCGGCCGCCGCCTCTGTTGCGCGCGCGTGTGTGTACTTTCGATTTTTGTATGTTGCTGCTGTTGCTGTTGTGCGGAATTTTTTCGCCAATGCGGTTAGGGCCCCAGACGTCGTATGCGATTGCGATTAGTGTTGCTTGCTTGGCTCTCGTTGAGTTCGTATGTCGGCTGCGCTCTTTCCAATTGTTATTGCTTATTAGTTGGTATTTCATTCAAACTTGCATGTATCGCCAAAGCAGAAGTCACATTTAAAATTTAATGTGTGTTCACATTTGAAATGATTTGAACTAGTTGAAATATGTCTTTTTTCAAGGGGCTACGTTTCTGTGTGCAAGGAACGCAGCATGCTGAGTCGATAGCAAGTTTCGTCAGTCTCGTGCGATAGATTTCCAATCGATATGAACGTTGCATACAGTGTTGCTAGATGATATTCGCTAAAGTTGCGAAAATTGATTCGAATAGCTTTAGTTGTTTATTTGCCTCGCAATTGCTGTTGTCAATCAATCATCGGCGCAACTTCGTGTGAATAGATAAGTGTATATGAATATATAAGTGTATATGCTCTGTTTATAATGGAAAAAGCTGTGAAATTTTTAACTGTTTATGGAATGCAAACTTTAGCTTTAATCATCGCGCCTGGTCCCAGTTCAGATATCGACTACATATAAATATCGTACATTAGCTAACACTGATAACTCTTAGCAGCGTTTGGAACTAAACAAAACAACAACAGCAACACGGCCGGCATGTGTGCGAAAATGTCGAAGCGAAGCGCGGTGCAAAATAATTAGGATTTCATAAACTGTTGGAAATCTATTTACTCTGATATAAAGCAAGCAAATTTAGCAGTGAAGTAAATATCATAATACATACATATATATATAAATATATACATATGCATATACATATACATTAAATATTCGATGCTAAGATAGAAAGAATTGGAATGGAGTGGTATGAAATAAAGGCAACTGATAGCCGACCAGTGAATTTCCCTGACAGTTCCATACCTGGTTATGAGGAGGTGCTCAGCAAGCAGACCGATGAGTGCAACATTGCCTGTAAGTGGTTTAGAATTACAAAAAAAAATCATGTGTTTATATTACCATATATGCTATTTATTTGCTTTGCCATTTACAGCTGATTATATTGGAGGCATCATAAATCGCGGCAACTGGGGTTGGATAACGCGAAGGAATGTGGATACGGCCTCAATTTTGATATGTCAGCTGAGCAATGGATATCGCATAGCCAGCTACACGTTTCTGCAGGAGAATGAGCGCAAGCAGACGCTGAAGTGCAGCATACGCTGTGTGGAAGAGCTGACAGTCGCAGGCATTGGCGATCGCGTACTCTTGGCTGTATGCATTAAAGTCCAGCAGGGACGAACACAGTTGGCCCTCTACACGCCCTCCAATAGCCAAGTATTGTGCTACATAGATCTGAATAAGGCTGAGATCAATGTCTCTTGCATGACTTTTCTGGATGAGCAGTTATGCGCTAAATCCAAATTTCATCAATTCGATGGCTGTTTGGCTATGGGCACAACCGCTGGCTATGTGCATCTAATGGATGTGAATGCCAGCCAAATTGTTGCCAAGATGGGCGTAAATCTTAGCCTGCACGATACTGAGGTGGAACGCAGAGATATTCATTGCATTAAGTCTATAAGTCTACTGGATCCGAATGTCATTCGATGCCGGCGGGAGAACATTCATCTGACATTCGACGTGAAGATTCCCACGCTTACTCCAAGTCCCATATCCAAACTGTTGCCATTGGAACTGATTTACGGCTTCGTTGCCGGCATGCAGGATGGACGCGTCTGTGTCTATGATCTAAGAAGTATGCAGCCGGTCGCCCAGCTACGTCGGCCCGACGAGCATTTACCGTCGCCTGTGGTTGGACTCTGTTTCATTGAGCCGCCGGATGATCCGCAACCATGCTACTACATTTGCGCTGTTTACGATCAGGGCGATCGATTGATTGCCTCGCTGCATTCATTCAACTACAGACGCCCGTGCCCTCTGTCCCTGGAGAATGGGGACTTCGCTTTGCGCGACTTTCAAGCCGCAAGCACACGCATTCGTCTGGCATTGGACACTGAAAGTTGTTCGTTAATCGGCTGCACCACAGCCTCCACGTTGGCTCTCTCTGGGGAGCATGTCACCATACTGACGGCCATTACCTGGCGCTCGCGCAAGGATAATCGCATCAAACTAGTCCTATTCGACATCAATCAATGGTACAAGGACGAGATGCCCACTCATCCAAGACCACAAGAGGATCTGAATTATCTGTGTGGCTTTATCTTCAGTGGTCAGCACGCGGGACTGGCTTTGCACCTCGAATCCAACTCGATTATTCCGTTTATTTCCATGCAACGTCATGATGCTTACTATTTTCCCAAAGCGCTGTCGTTTGGTAAGTCTAGAAAATCACGCAAAGCACATAGAATTGGGAACGATTGAAAGGGGTCTATGCTAAAAGTGAACTTTCAAATGACAGCTTCACTTACAGGGAAAGCTCCCCAATATTCTTTGGTCTCTCTCTCTCTTTCGCTCTCTCTCTCTCTCAGCTTTCTGCTTATTTCAGCTATTCTCTTATCTAAGAGATGGCCTTGCAATAGTTTGATTGATTGTTCTCGTCGTCATCCTTATCGTTATCTCGGACTCTTGATACTTGCTGACATTCTGTACTATCCCTACTCTCTCTCTCTAGTTTGATTGATTGTTCACCCTATTTCTATCTCTCTCTTACTCTCACTCTGTCTCTCCTCCTTTTTTTTTCTCTCTTCTTTCCCTCTCTTTCTCTCTCACTTCTCGTTCTATCTAACGCTCTTCTCGCTCTCTATCTCTCTCCATCTCTCTCTCACCCCTCTATAAGTCTCTGCGAGATTTAATTGCTTAATTTTTCTTTTCCCATCCTATCATCATCTCTGACATTTTACAATCTCCTCTCTCTCTCTCGCTCTCTCTTAGATTGCGTGCTGATGACAGTCAAAGGCTGTCAGCAATTTGAATATATGGGCGTTCAGCGTAGTTTCTTGAATTCTCTGTACTACAATAAGGCAAATGTATTTCTCAATCCGGATGCCTATATCAGGGATATTGCGAAACTTCGACTGGTACCGCAATTTCATGACTTCGAACCGCATTCGTCATTCACCAAGGTATGTTCATAGGCGTGACAGTGGCGTGGAGTCTCTCACTGATGCCTTCTTCCTTTTGCAGTGCGAAATGTACGAGCTGATTATGTCAATGGGACTGGAACAGGATCGTATGTGGCTACTGAATAGCTGCGCCCGCAACTGCATGGACGGCAGCTTTCTGTGCAATATGATGAGCTCAACAAAGCTGACGTTGTCCGTGATAACCAATTGGATTGTGAAGCGTGCCAGGCACATCAAGCTACGTTGCTCGGAGCTATGCCAGGGCATCTTTGACTATGGTGCCTATGAACTGGATGAGCGCGAACGCACGGAGATGCAGCATTTGAACGGTCAGCTCTGCAAGCTGTTCGATTTGCAGACCTTGCTCGTAGATCTGTCCAGGAGTCGCTTGAATCAAGAGCTTGTCGATGATTTGGCTTTTACACAGCACACCCTGAAGGTTCTATATGAATATCAGCGCTTACTCTACTGGCTGATCGATCGCGACATCTTGCCGGAGAGCAACCAGCAGCAGCAGCAGTCGCTGCCACTGATACGCCGCGACTATGACGAGCGACGAGCTCAATTGTCACGTGCCTCAAAACACAATGCCAAGCTCTACATAGACGAGCTGATGCGCCATTATGGATTCCAGGCTGAAGTGCAGAAACAGCTTAAAGAGGATGGACTCTATCCGCCCCAGTCGCTGCAAACGCTGATGCGTTTAATGATGCTGCAGGACGTCAGCTTGGAGAAGAAACACGAGCTAATGCTATATGTGATGTTGGATTTGGATCAGTTCTACAAGAGCGATAAACCCGAATTGTACAACGATTTCGCCATGTCATTTGGCCTGGACGAGCCACTGGTGAAGTGTGTGCGCTCCTTTTGGTTTCTGGACAAAGGCGATCACGAGGTGGGTTAGCTGGCTGTCCCTTTCTAATTGAAGTCTTCTCACATTAGCTTTCTCGCTCTTTCCTTCGTAGATGGCAATCGACGTTCTGTATAGAGGACGCACCGGGCATAGCGTCTATACCGAATGGCAGACAAAGCATTTGATCGAAACGCTGATTCGCTACAATGCCACTCCGGCGGCAATGCAAGTGGTGCATTTGCCACCTGGATTTATTTCCTCTGAAGTTAAGCTGCAGGTGCTCTTGGCCAACAATAATATACCGGAGGCATTCCATCATGCGCGCGTCTACATGGACGATGAGGGTCGTCCGTTGCTGGAGCGTTTCTTTCAGCATTGCATCATGGAAAGCAAATTCAGTGTCCTGGCCACTCTCTGTCTGCGCGACAATGAGGAGCAGCTCGTCTATCGCCAGCTGCGACATTGCAAGACCCGCGCCACTGACTGCATCCAATTGATTCTGCTGCTCAAGCGCTGCAAGTATATCGAAGCGGTGTCCTTTATGGACGAGGTGGCCGCGGAGCGTGAACAGAGCGACGAGACAAGTGGCATCCTGACCGCCTACCGGACAACCATGGCGCCCGTCACCCAATCCATAGCGGGCACATATTTCCGCCTACGCGACAAGCTGCATGGGAATCACTTGACGAATTTCTCGCCGGAGCCGTTCAGCTGTCAGCTGGCCAAGCAGCACGCCACCGGTCAGATGGCCGACATCTTTCAGAGCTCCGCTCTGAGCGCCCACTGGGCGACGCGCTACCCCAACGAGCAAACGTCCCTAAGATTGGACAGCCGCAATATGCCTTTCCTGCGCTCTGCCTCGCAGGCGCTTAAGGAGATGCCTCAGCTGCGCCGACATGTGCGTCCCACACCATACCAATGCGCCGAGAAGCGTCTCTATCCGAGCTCCACTCCCGATGCGTTGGGCCCGCATTCTAAGCGGCGCCGCCTTCTGGTCGAAGATGACACCGTTCCCAGCTTTGCCAATTCATCGCAGGAGGTAATCGATCTGCCGTATGAACAGCACACAATGAATTTGGATCTGCATGGATTGCGCTTGGCCAATGATTTGCTGCACCCGCCCAGCTATCTGTTATCCAAATCAGGTGCTGAGTCGGCAACGAGCACCACGCGGGAGCAGCGTCCCGCCATACTGAAGAGACGTTTGTCTCGACGCCAGTCACTGCAGCGTCCAAACTTCAGCTTCCTGGCGCCCATACCGTTGGACAAGTCGATGCAGAATGTGGAAATGATGGAGATGGACGAGGAGGAACAGACGGTCTCGGACTTGGATGGAGATGAAATATTTGTGGAAATCGAGCAACAATTAGATAGCTCCACCAGGCCTGAAGCCGAACCGGAGCAGCAACAAAATAACATCTCGGACACTGAATCCGAGTATATGTCGCCGTTGGCCTCGGCGAATGCTTCATTTGCTTCATTCAGTGGAGGCAATCGGGAGCAGGAACAGTCGCAGCAACAACTGGAAGCGAAACAGGAACCGGAACAGCAACAGCAACAGCAACAAGAACCGCCACGTCCATTCACAATGGCACGACCAACTGGTCCTCAACCACGTAGCTCATTGAGCAGCGGCTTTGGCAGCTTTGCCACTGTACAAACGGGCAGCACAGCCGGATCGCTGCAGCTGAATGCATTTCAGCCGCCTGTTTGCTCCTCGAAAATGTTCGAGAGCACATCGAGGGTAGTTAGCAGCACCTACCAGGTGAAGATCTCGGAGCGAACGACCATTTGCGGAGACATGGATGAGCCGAGCAGCTCGGCAACAGGTTGGTCCATGCCATCCGCCCTGGGGCAAACAGTCCATATTGGTTCATCAGCTGACAAACCAATGCCAATGCAAATGCTGGACACGACGCTGGGCATGTCCTCCTATGATATGACAGCAATAGATGCCATGGCCGAGCAGGAGACGGAGAGGGTAGGGCAGATAGAGCCAGAGCCAGTGGCAGTGGAATTGCCAGTGACAGTGTCAGAGCCAGAGCCCGAATCAGAACCAGAGCCAGAGGCAGAATCTGACGAAGAACCAGAACTAGAACCGGAACCAGAGGCTGAATCAATGCCATCACGTAGCCAAGCAAGTCCATTGGCTTACATAGATCTGGACGACGACGAAGATGAAGTCGAAGCTGAAGTCGAAGCCCAAGCCGAAGCTGAAGCCGAAGGCGATGATGTGGAAGGGGATGAGGAAGAGCTGGAAGTGGGCCACGAGGAGTTGGCACCATCGCAGCCACATGCGTCACAGGTCAACGAAGAGGTGGATGCTCGTGACGACGTGGAGCAGCAGGAGCAATGCACATCGTCCAGCTTTGACCAGACAACTATTCCACTCTCCTTCAATCGTGGCTCGCCCAGCTATAGCGTAAGCAGCGAACTCTCCGACTTGTCCTCGCCACGCACGGATGCGCCCGTTTATTCAATTGTGGTGGAGTCCACCAATTCTATTAGTGACTCACGTTCGCCCGCCTCCCATACGCCCAACTCGTTTCTGCCCAGCGACACGAATGTCTCCCAGAACTCCAGCCCACGTGCTCATGGTGTAGGTGGCGAGGGTGGCTCGAATCGTTCGCTCTATCGTGCAAACAGTTTGGAAACGGTGGATGATCTGGACACCACGAAGGGCTCCTTGGAGGAAGACGACGATGTGGATGAGGAGGATGAGTGTGTCATAGCGCTCGATGGCACCGAGGTACGAGGCTATGTGGCGCGTGCCGAGCCTGTGGCTGCTTGCAACAGCGCCGAGTTGTTTGCCTTCAAGCAACAGGACGAAACGGAGCAGCAGGCCAACCAAGCGCCATGTCCTTCATTGGTCGCCACGGCTAACAGTGACTCAGTAATGGCCTATACCATCAACTTGGACAGCGTGGACAGCGTTGAGGTGCAGCCGGCAGTGGCAACGGTTACCACCATTGTCGGCTCCAGCAATGAATCCGTGGCCACAGTTGCCTTCAGCGAGCACAAGGATCAGCAGGAGAAGCAGGATCAACAGCAAGAAGAGGAACAGGAGTCGGAGATGCCAATGAATGTGGATGAAGGAGAGGAAGCTCCAGTGATATCCCAACAAGCAGTGGCACCTACCCAAAGCGCTATCGATCCAGCTGATTCAATTGCCATAGATCTGGACTCCGACATGGACTCGAATCCCAGCCTGCTAGTGCTTTCCGATAAGGAGGAAATGGATGTGGTGATGGTAGACGAGGGCGAGGAGAATAAGCCGTCGGTGGAGACCCTGACTGTGACTGAGGCTGAGGCTGAGGCTAAGGAACAGGATCAGCCCTTGGAAATTCAACAGCCCATCCCAGTGGATAGCGCCACACAGCCCATTAATCTGGATTCCGATAAAGAGATTGAGGCCGAGGAGGAGAAGGAGTCACTGGACATTTCGCTGCCGGCATTGACGCGCACAAGACGCACACGCCGCAGCCTGAGCGGCACGCCGCCCGTCCCGGAGCGAAGAATACGCCTTCGCAGTGACGACAATCTCAGAAGTGCATCATCCAGTCGCAGCACACCATCCCCCTCTCCATATCGTCGGCGCTTGCGTTTGCGCAGCGCCAGCAGCTATGGAACGGTCGCCGAGGAGCAGCTGCCGGAGACCGATGCGGAAGCTTCACGTGGTACAACAGACAGTCCTGTCCCGACCAAACATCCATCAATCAAACGTCGCATTTTGCGCGGCAGTTCCTTGCCCCCGATTTCTACTGTGCCGGTGTCCACGCCCAAGCGTCGCCCGAAGATGGTGCCCCGTCCACTGGAGGTAATAGACGAGACTGCCGAAGGCCAGTCGTCAACCACACCACGCACACGTTCGCGCAGGCAGCACGGCCAGTCGGCGGCCAGCGTTCCGGCTTTAGAAGCAGCTGTGCAGAATGTGGACAGCGGAACACCGCAACGCAAGTTGCGCAGCACTAGTGAACCACCTTCGCCAATGGCTATTGTGGCTCCAGCCAAAGGCAAGCGTCGTCTGAAACCCAGCACAGAAGAGCCTCCGAAGCAGGATGTTGCGCCAAGGAATCTGCGCAGTCGACGCAGTACTGCCGAGGCAGACGCGGAACAGCCTGCGGCGTCATCGTCAGCTCGGTCCACTGGTAACTACTCGACTTGCCTTACATTTGCCTGCATGGATCAACTAAAAGTTTACACTTTATTTACAGTTAGTGATTCCAGTGTGCCCCTCAAGAAACGTGGTCGAGCCAAGAAGTAGTCTTTCCCACCTACAAAACAACAACATATTTAGCTATAGTTGATAGAAACACTATTTTTGATTTTTCTTTAAATTTCTTTGGCTTGTTCATTGAATTCAAATTGCCAGGAAGCGGCAAAGTTACATATACTGAAATGTTATAAAAAAAAAGAGGATGAAAAACAAAAAAAAAGGAGAATAACTGTTGAGCGTTTGGTGTCGTCCAATCGTTTCTTTCTTGTACAATATATCGATAGCATCGTTATAGAACTGCAAGTGACTCTGGAGCTCAACAAGGTGAACGCAAAAGTTATAACTCTATTGAAGTGTATTATTAAATTTGAATATAGATATATACAATTATATACCGAAGTTGAAAGTATCTATGCAATGTTAAATAAAAAAACCAGTGTTTTAAATATTTGAAATGCAATGACTGTTGGGGGAGGTGTCATAGCACTGAGCTATTTGGTTGGTTGGGTGCAGTATCGATATATCGATAGATGCATGTACGAAGCAAATGAGTTAATCGCTTGAATTGAGCGCAGTATTTAAATATATTAAATATAAATTTGTGATTCATTATAACAATATACAAATATATACAACAGTTTAAAACATAAACGGCAACAGGGCGGCAAGTGGGACATCATTAAAGCTAAACACTTTACGGTGGATGTCGTCTACAGCTACGCACATGCATACGCATATGCATGTGTGTGTGTTTAAATTTAACTTAATAGCTAAAACTTATTTTGCCTAACTGTATCTTGTGACGTGGTGCACTGGGCTTAGACCAGTGTAGACAGCTCATGCAGCGAAATAGTTATATTGCTCATGTCCAGCGTTGGCGGTATTCCGGGACTAACCGATCCGCTAGCCTCGCGTCCCATCAGGCAGCTGCCATTGGCTGCAATAGATATCGGCTTGGGCGTTGGCGGCGTAGCTGTAGCCGGTCGCACGAGATACGGTGAGTTGATAATGCCGCTCGTATTATTATTATTATTGTTGTTGGTGCAGAGCAACGGATTGAAGCTGCCATGTGAATGATTCGGAGAAACGGGAGTCACTGAAGTGGGATGATGCATCATGGAATGATTCTGTTGCCCATAAGCCGGCAACACAGGTGGACAAACGCTGCTGTTGAACAGCTGAACTGACGGCAAGTGCAGCGACATATTGAGAGGGGGCGTACGGTAACTGATCGTCTTCTCCTTCTGCCACACGAACACGTTGTGCACCATCGCACAGCCGCAGAAAACGATGCCAATGCCAATCAGAATGCTGGTGATGATCGCCGGCGTTGAGTGAAAATGATTGAAGGTGTACAGTATGATGCCGGTGAGAAAGACAGGTATGGAGATGAAGAATCCGCTCACAGCGCACGTCCTGCTTGCACTCGACTTCTCCAAGTACTTGTTGTCGCGCCCATCGAACATGGGCGAGCGCAGCAGCTTCACCGCAAAGAGAAATTGTATCGCACAGACCAGCAGACAGCAGAGATTCAGAGAGAGCGACAGGGCGCACAGTGCCAGAGTCACATCGTATACAATAATGAAGTCGTCGCCATTGATGCTGCGTATCACCGTATCTTCGCGGGTGTTCGGCGAGATCTTTAGCAGAAAGATCAGTGAGAGCAGCGCCAACAGCAGTGAAACTGTAAAGAAAAGAATTAAGAATTTAGATGTAGAAGTCTCGCGTTTTGAATTTTTATTCTTAGATGGCCGCATTGTATTTAAACCCATCACTAAAAACTGTAAGATGGCAACGCTGTTATTATATAAAATTTTTTATGCTGGAATCACACTGACTAACTGAATGCCTATGCTAGGCTGACAAATTTTACTCAGTGCTGCCATATCAAAACGAGAATTTCAAATATTTTGAGTGCTGTCAGTTGGCTGAAAAGTGCTGCCACTTACCTAAACAAAGCAAACCCAAGCTGGTCAACACTTCGCGGGGTCCTGGACCATGTTTGGTTGGCTTTACAGTCGTCTGCAGCACCGAATTTGGATTTAGGCCCAAATTGTTGCAGTGGCTATAATTATGCATATTGCTGTTAATGTTGGTGATGTTGTTGTTGTTGAGGGAATGCTGGGGCAGGTGTAGTGGTTGCTGCTGCTGTTGCTGTTGGTGCTGCTGCTGCTGTTGATGCGTGCTGCTGCTGCTGCTGGCCAACATGTGCTGATTCGTGTAGGTGTGATGATGCAGACTGTTGCCATTACAATTGCCGTTGGGCGTGAGCGGCGTCAGCGGTTTCATAGGCGCCTGCGTGGCAATATTGAGCAACGTCGACGCATTACCAACACTTCGGACGCCGCCGTTCAGCATAGAGTTAGATGCATTCAGTGCGGATATGTTCAGCGGCTGTGGCGGCCGCAGGTGTATGTTGCGTGCCGTGCTAGCCACGGCAGCTGCCACCGGTGTCGGTGAAGCGCCAGCAGTTGCTGCCGCCGACGCTGCCGCTGCCGCCGCTGCTGCGGCTGCTGCTGCTGCTGCTACGTTTGGCACGGGGCTCGTGGCAATGGTGGTGGTTGCTGTTGCCGCGGCCACCGCCGCTGAGGGTGGATTACCGCCGCTGTTGTTGTTATTGTTGCCATTGCAATTGCTGTTGTTGGCATTGCTGTTGCCATTGCCGTTGCTGTTACCATTGCCGTTACCATTGCCATTGCCGTTGCTGTTGTTGTTGTTGGCAGTGCGCAGCAGCTGTCCGCTGACAGGCGCAGCGGCTGTGGCGCTGCTCGCATTTGAGGCGTGCTTCAGCATTTCCTGTCCAGCTAGTTGAGAGCCTTCTGTCTCTCTCCCCCTCCCCTGCTTAGCTCCTGCTTCTTCTGCCTCCGCTTCGACTATGACGCTTTGCTGCCAGTGGCACCTGCTGCTGCTGTTGCTGCTGCTCCTGCTGGCTGGCTAAGTCTGCTCCGCAACGCAATGTTCCATGGACGGTTCACATAATGAATGCCGTGTGCCGGGAAGTCTATGCAACTGAAATTATATTTTCATTATAATAACAGTAATGATAATGATAATGATGATGAGAACACTAAAATCATAGTAAAAACTGGAACTGAACTTCAATCAGGAAGAGAATATTAATAAATTAATGATAATGATAATGATTACAATCATGATTATGATGATAGAGACAAAGATAAGAAAACTAAAATCCTGGTGTAATTTTTAACTATAATTATTATTCAACCTAGTAAATATAGTAATAATTCTAATAACAATTATAATAATAACAATGATAATGAATGATACAATGATGAGTGCATACAAATTAATGACAATCATACAGAAATGATGATAATAACTAATAATGATGACATTATATGATGTAATAGCAATGACAATTTAGAGAGAGAAAATTATTGATGAAGAACATCAAAATAATATTTTTTATTCAACACAAATGCTTTTTGCTCTCGCTATGATTGCTTTTCATATTCATTGAGAAAATATCGAGAAGAACTCTAGAGCTCTTCTTCTTCTGCTGCGAAAGGTGACCGAAAGACAGAAACTGTCAAACTGTCAAAGTAGAGACTGTAATAGATAAAAACTACGCCGAAAATGCATTGCGAAGGAAAAATAAAAAATGGAAGTAGGACTCGCATTAGAAGATATGCATTGGGACTGTATTCATGGAAGCTGCGAGTCAACTGGAATTACCAGGCACAAGGATTGTTAGAAGCTCCTAGGCAAGCAAATTGAAGTAGAGCTGACTTATATTTGTGTGAATAATAAGCAGAATCGCCCTATATCCACAGCATTATTAAGAAAAGATCTTTGGAAATACATTTGGAATAGTATAGAATAAGCTTAATAGAAGAAACTTTTTGAAACAGTCCTTTTTTCCGTCTCTCTCAGTCTCACTAACTCTCTCACTCTCTCTCTCTCTCTCTCTCTCTCTTCACTGTTTCTCTACAAATCTTAACTTCTTAAAGCAAAACAACGCCAAGTACAAGCTACATATATGTACGTATATCGAGCCGAAAACAACTTTCCCAAAACTCTTTGCCACTGCCCAAGATTTACCTCTCTAGCTGAATCTCTGGAGTCTGGAGTCTCGAGTCTCGATTCTGGCCCCATAAAGTGTGCGATCGGCATTTAGTTGGCCCCTTCTTCACAGCTCTGCTCTTCTCTTCTCTTATCTTCTTGGCTCTTCTGCCTGTTCTGTTCTCTTGTCTGCTCTTCAATTTCCCCCACTCATTTAGGTCTGCACCGTTTTAATGGCTTTCTTCAGCGCTGTTTATCATGCCACGACCAAAGCTGAGCCACTCAGATACAGCTTGGATACACCCAGCTAGTCAGATACTTAGATACAGATACGAATGCCAGAAGCAGAAGCAGAAGCCGAAGCATTCGCACGCTCAGTTTGCGCCAGAGAAATGAGAATTAAGTGGCTAGAGACACGTAGAGTCAAGTTCCTTAACCGCTCCATTTACATATTGTCTTTCGGATAGAACCAAACTCTGATCAAATCACGTTTCTTTTGACAGCCCCAAAATTTCTTGAACAAAATCCTTGGCATAATTAGGTAGAAGCCACAATTCGTATTAATTAAGCGCATTTTTTTTTTTCGCTGACTCTCTTTTTACGCTCCCGCAAATGGGCTTATACGATAACTCATCTGATTTGTCTAGCTGGAGAGTTTTTGAAATAGGTACATAAGGCGAAAGAGAGAGAGGAAGAAAATGAAAGTGAATATAGCTCTGTCAAAGGGATATCGTGTACCGTATGGTCTCTCCTTTTTTAATATTTTATATGTATGTATGTATAGTATATAGTATTCTAGATATATCATTTATTGATATAATCATATAATTCAAGTTTTAGTTTTGACTTGAAATTGTTTCTCTAAAGAACGTTCCACTTCGAAGACAACTGTCAAAGGTGTTCGAATCTGGAGTATAAATGTATGAATGCTATATAACTTCTTTGACTTCTTTGAATATCGTATTTCGATCGATTACGTATTGCTGGATTAACATCCCATATTATGCATCTTCTAGCTGAAGTTTAAACAAGTAAATTTCCGAAATTGGTTCTATACGAGCCGTATTGCCGTATTGATTATGGTATATTGCATGGCGTATATTGCATATCGTTTCTCGAATATCGTATACCAACATTACACATTGCACCTAGTTTACCAAATATCACGATACTTTAGCTTCAATAGAGTGAATCTATTGCCTGATTTCTCATTTATTTATATCTAACAAAATTGCTTAATCAGCCTAATTATATATTGTCTATACATTATATCGTATACTGATTATAGTATATCCACTCCCAGCTCATCTTAGCTGAAGCCTTAACAGGTAGGCCAAATCGTATCGTATATCTGTCAGTTCCGATTAAGCATTTGTATCTTATAATCCACTATAGCTTGTATAGTTTCTTTATAGAATATCTC